AATTGTTTGTCTTGCACCTGGAAGGACAGTGTAAAGCAGTGGCAAAATTTCTTCTTGCAACAGGAAGAAGCTCCAGCAACATAAGAATGGTTTGGGTTGGAAGTACCATAAAGATCATCTTCTTCCAACCCCTGCCATAGGCAGGGACACCTTCCACTAGCCCAGGTTGCTCCAAGCCCCATCCAACCTGGCCTGGAACACTTCCAGGGATGAGAAAACTCATTCTGGGGCAGCCAGGCATGCAGGCTCTGCCTCCCCACACACCCTGGGAGTGTGGGCCACGGCCAGGGCTGCAGGGAGGAAGATGAAAGGTGATACAAAAGCATTTCTGGTCTGGGCAGCACATTGCAGGCAGCAGGAGGCTGCTTTCAAGTCAATTGTTTCAAAACATATCTTTAAATGAATTAATAATTAGACACAGCTGCCATCTTGTTAACATGAGGAAGCAGTGGCTGAACAGCTCTGTGTGTCTGAGAGACAAAAGTGAGGATTAGTCCTGGCCTTTCTGTGCTGTTGGACAAGTCACAAAAGCCTCAGTGATGGGAAGTATGTTGTGCTTTGCTGGAGTCCACTCCATTCTCTTTGGCTGTGTTGGGAGCTCAAGGCATGAATCTCCTTGCAGGACAGAAGCCTTTTAGCTTCTGCATTTGTTATAGATGACAGGATTCATAGTATGTTAAGGGGTTGGAATGGAGCTTAGAGATCATCCAGGCCTGACCCCCTGCCCTGGGCAGGGACACCTCCCACCAGAGCAGGTTGCTCAAGGCTTTAGCCAACCTGGCTGTGAACACTGCCAGGGTTGGGGCAGCCACAGCCTCCCTGGGCAACCTGGGACAGTGTCTCACCACCCTCACAGGGAAAACTTCTGCCTAAGATCTGATCTAAATTTCCCTCTTTCAATTTATGTGCATTCGTCCTTGTCCCATCCCTGCAGTTCCTAAGCAAGAGACCCTCTGCAACATCTTGAGGTGCAGATCTTGTGAGAGTCTTATGCTGGGTTCCTTTCCCTGTTCCCCTGCACCACATTTCTACAAATGGGTTCAGAGGAAACAAGGACTCTCATCCTCAGTGCTTCTTCCCCAACATGTGGGGAAGTGCCTGGCACATCGTGTCAGGTATTTCACTTCTCATGTCTCCCTGTGGGGTTAGTCCTGTGGTTAGGCTCAAGTGGCACTGCTGAGCAGTCAGGCCTTACACCAGTCAAATGTTTGAGCTGGGACATCAAAATTGGTTTGATCCTTTGGCTCATCCTGCTTGGTGAGTGAGCCTGGAGCTGGGCCACAGCCCAAATGCCCAAAGGCTCTGTGGACAGAGGGCTCAATGCAGCCAAAGGTGCCTGTGGAACTCTGTGGGCTTTCTCTGGAGAAAAGGAGTTTGATTTCCCCAAGAGCAAACAGGTTTGAGTCATTAAATCATCTCAGCATGGCAGAGCCAGTGCTGCACATTGTGAGTGGGTTCAAGCACACTTGGTAGCACTGAGGAAGATGTTATGTGTTCATGAAGGCTCTGCTTTCTCAGGAGAGGCTTTTTGTCAACCATTTTGCCTGGTGCTTGTCACTGGATCCAACTCCAGTTTGTCCTGGATCCTTGTGTGTGAGGCAGAGCAAACAGAGCAAGGCCCTGCCCTGAGCATAAGGTAATCTAGCAAATGCTCAGAGCAGGCTGCTTAATTAGTTGTATTTCAGCACATTTCATTTTTCAAGGCTTTGATGGTGGCATGAAATTGTGGATCTGTCGCCAAGTTTGGGCTTGAAATGAAAAAATAAATGATAAACGATTATTTGGCAGCAATGAACCTGCTGCACTCTCTCTGCATGTTTATGTGCTTTCTCTTCTCCCATCTGTTCCTTCCTCCAGCTCCTCCCCATGGGATGGTTCTCCAGCCCCCCTTGCTTGGCTGACAGCAATCCTCAGTCTCAGAGAACCATGGAATATCCTGAGTTGAAGGGATCCACAAGGATCATTGAGTCCCTGCTGAATGGGATCCACTTGTTCCAAGCAGAGATATTTGGTTGACAAAGATGAGAACTGAAGAACAGCCTCTAAAATAACCACCAGGGCTTGTTCTGGTATTCCCAGGACAGAAACCTGGGGCTGTCCCTGGCACTTCCCCACATGCTGGGGAAGGAATACTGAGGATGAGTGTCTTTGTTGCCTCCAAACCCATCTGTAGAGATGTAGTGCAGGAGAACAGGGAAAGGAAGGAGCTAACAGCAAAGAGAGAGGAATGGAAAGACAAAGCAGGGAGTGAAGAAGTGTTGCTGGGGTGGGCTGACAGGTATTGCACAAGGCATTCAAAACCATAATGGGAGATTTGGCTGCTCAGAGCTTTCCCTGTGCTTCTGCTCTCATTTTCCCAGGCTGTTTTCCCTTCAGATTCACTTGTCTCTCACGTGCTGCTTTTGCCTTTAGCAGGGGTGGTTTGTGGAGAGGTTTGTTAGTCCTCATTCCTCTTGGCTGAGTCACTGATCAGCTGACACAGATATTTCTGAAGATGTTTGCTATTTGGAGAAATACTTGTCATGTGTTTGATCCAGAGCCTGTTCCTTGAGCAAGGATTTGTGCAGATATACACCACATTTCCCAGGGAGGTGGTGGAGTCACCATCCCTGGAGGTGTTCAAGAAACAACTGGATGTGGTACTCAGTGCTCTGCTCTAGTTGACAAAGTGGTGATTGGTCACAGGTTGGACTTGATGATCTTGGAGGTCTTTTCCAACCTAAATGATTCTGTACTATTAAAAATGTCCCAGGAGGTATTTAATTGCCTCAGTGCTATAAGTGTTATTAACTGCAAGGAATGCTGTGGCATCATCTCACCCTCATCACACGTGGGTTTTGCTTTTTTATTGGGTGTCTTCTGCTTAAGCAGTGACTTCTAAGGTGGCATCAAGCACATGCATGGCTGAAATACATTTAAAAGCACTTCTAAGGCATTTTAATCAAGCACATGCATGGCTGAAATACATGTAATAGCACTTCTAAGGCATTTTTAAAGTGCTTTTCTGTGAATCCTTCTGCAAGCAAAACTAGACTTGCAAATAAGATTGGGAATAGTGACCAAAAGCCACCACAGGTATTAATTCTAACTGATATTGATGCCTTTATTTAATGCATCTTTTTCAAGTTAGTGTTTGAGAGCACTTCTCTGTGGTCACTGCCAGGTCTCCACCATGAGCAAATGGATGAGCTCGATGTTTGAGGTTTGTTTTTTTTTTTACCCTTCAGTAGGAGGAGGAGATTGTCTTTGGGTCTTTTCTTTCCTTTATTCTCCCCTTTTCCCTTCCCTTACACCCAACATCAGCCTCAAATTGCTTCATTCTTCACTCACAAGAGGAGAATTTGCATTTCCCTCAGCAAATGGCCATGTGGCATTTTACTTTTCAGCAGTTCCCTAAAGAACTCCCTTGTGCTTGATGAATGCAGAAACTTTGTCACACACTAAACCACCCTTCCCTCCCCTCCAAACCACACTGCTTCCTCAGGGAGCCTCGGGAGGGCTTGGATGACAGGAGCCCAAAGTGCTGAGTAAGCAGCTGTGGAAGTGCAATCAGTCTGAAGATGCCTCAGTTTTCTTGCAGACTTCTTGTCTGTATGTGTGCACAGATTCTGGGCACAGTTGCCATGCTGGGCCTTAATTGCAGCCCAGATTAAGGGAAGGCTGTAGTTCCCTCCTGAAGTGAGGCTCAGTTCAGATGGAAACACGATGCTGATGCTCAGCACATGGGAAGCTGGAATTGAGATGGGGGGGAGGGGATTGGTGCAGAAAGCCTGCACAGAGTTAGGTCACCTCAAAATGTGTTTTGGCCCTGCAGTAGGGTCAGCCTGGAGCTGTGGAACTCACAGAAACATCAAATTATTTAGGCTGGAAAAGGCTTTTAAGGTCATCTAGTCCAGCCATTCCCCAGTGCTGCCAAGGCCTCCACTAAACCATGTCCCCAAGTGCCACATCTACATGTCTTTTAAATCCCTCCAGGGATGGTGACTCCATTACTGCCCTGGACAGCCTGCTCCAATGCCTGACAACCCTTTCCATGAAGAAATATTTCCTAATATCAAACCCAAACCTCTCCTGGTGCAACTCAAGGCCATTTCCCCTCATTCTATCACCTGTTACTGAGGAGAAGAGACCAAGCTCCACCTGGCTCCAACCTCCTGTCATGGAGTTGTAGAGATCAAGAAGGTCTCCCCTGAGCTTCCTTTTCCCCAGGCTGATCCCTTCAGCTGCTCCTCATATAACTTACTCTCCAGCCCCTTCCCCAGCTCCATTCCCTTCTCTGGACATGCTCCAGACCCTCAGTGTCTTTCTTGTTGTGTGGGGTCCAAAACTGAACCCAGGATTTGAGGTTTGGCCTTACCAGTGCTGAGGGCAGGGGGACAGTCACTGCCCTGGTCCTGTTGGCCACACTATTCTTGATGCAGGGCAAGATGCCATTGGCTTTCTTGCCCACCTGGGCACACCTGGGCTTGTGTTCAGCCACTCTTGACCAGCACTCCCAGGTCCTTTCCTTCTGGGCAGCAACTTTGCCCCAAGCCTGGAGCATTCCATGGGGTTTTTGTGGCCCAAGGGCAGGACTCAGCAGTTGGCCTTGTTGAACCTCGTGCAATTGGCCTTGACCCATTGATCCAGCCTGTCCAGATCCCTCTGGTGAGCCTTCCCTCCCTCCAGCAGATCAACACTCCCACCCAGCTTGGTGTCCTCTGCATACTCGCTGAGGGTGAACTTGATCCTCTCAGCCAGTTCATTGTTAAATATATTAGATGAATCTTGTCCCAGCAGGTGGTGACAAAATGTGGTCTGAACAATGCTCATGAGTTCTTTTGCTGACATTTCAGCTGATAAACACAACAGAACTAACCAGTTCATCTATGGTGGACAATCCTATGGAAATCCAAGGGGAATCTCCCCTGCTCTCTGCCCTACAGGTTCTATATAGTATTTTGTTTCTGACGTGAATTAATACTTTTTTTTTTTGTCTCTCCCTTTTCCTTTGTTTCCAGACAAATGATGCTGCAGGAAATACCTGGAATTGGCTTTACTTCATCCCTCTCATCATCATTGGCTCTTTCTTCATGCTCAACTTGGTGCTGGGCGTCTTATCAGGGTAAGACATCATGACTTGTTTGTGCTCAACTGGATATGATAATGGAAGATGTGTTGGTTTTAGCACTGTGGAGGATGTAACTGAGGGATGAGTGTTTCCCTTCCCACATTTCCTGTCCTGTCTTTTCCTTGCAGTGGGGTATTTCTATTTCTGTTGAGCCAAGTCATTGATTGTGATGCTTCTGAATCCAAACCCAAGAGTTAAGTGAACTCCCTGGAATTACACTGACTTGGGTCTGTGCAGCCAACACTTACTCCTTCATCACCTTGAAAACCTCTCAGGAACCCACTGGTGCCAGTATAAATGCTGGAACTGGACATGAAAGTGTTGATAATGCACTTGGTGTCACTGTGCAGCACAGGGAAATGGGAAGCTCAAACTAAAGGCAGTTAAAAGATCTCACACTTTTGTTTGGCTGTTTGGGATTTTTTTTTTTGGTGGTGATATTTTCATTTTTTGGGTTTGATTCTTTATTTGCTTGTTTTGCTTTTTTAATATCTAGCTCATGAAACCAGTGTCTGGAGTTTGGGGACACACTGGTCTCTTGATGTTCAAATCCCAGGGGTCAGCCAAGGATTTGGTGTTTGTTGCAGCTGAGTTTTGGGTTTGAACCATTGTAGAAATGAAGCTGCCAAGTCTGAAGCTGAGCTGGAACATCCCCAGCATCTGGGGGAATTTGATCTGGAATTAACAACCTGACTCATTTCAATGGTTTATAAGCTCTTAGGTTTTGGCACCTCATTTTGCACAGTTTCTTAGATCCTGCAGGTGGTCAAGATTGTAGAGACGTATAAAGATGTAGATTTTTTTTCTGGCTCTTGGCAGCAGAGGAAGAGAGAGGAGTTAATCCTGCTGTGTGCTCAAACCCTTCAGTGCTGCACCTTTGCTCTTTCTTTATGTTCCTAGAGAAATAAAAGTGTTTTCCACAGAACAGATTCATGCTCAGTTGCATTATTTGGGTAATGAATCTCACCCTCAGCCACACACAGGAGGCAGCAGTGCAGTTGTGTTTGAGGGCTGGCAGAGAGCTGTGGCTAAGGCTGTGTCGTGCTCTTTGCTGTTCCTTCATCCAGGAATAATTGTCATGGTCAATAACTGATCAAAGCCATTCACAGGACATCCTGATGTATCAGAGGCTTTGTGGGAGAGATCTTTGTGACCATGATGTATGGCTTAAAGTAGGACCCACACAGGGCTGAGTGTGGTTCATTAGGTGCCTCATCCCACACTGGCTGAAATGATCTTTGTGATTTAAAACAAAACCAGAAGCCTACAGGCTCCTGATCCTTTGTGCTGGATTCAAATGTGTTTGGTGAGCAGAAGATGGAGACCTCTGTCTGACTCCCCTGAAAGCCTCTTGTTGCTTGGGGCAAAAGATGAATATTATATAAATGTGTATCTTTTAAAAATGCAGCTCTGTGTAGCAGGTTTGCCTTTGTTTGTGGTAAGGATGAAGATATCTACACAGAGGGAAGTTTTTATATTCTCTTTTGCAGATGAGTTTGACATCCTTGGCTGAAATAATTCCTGGGGAGAGGCTGAAGGGAACAAACATCACAGCACAGGTGTTGACCACACAGCTTGGGACACTGCTGGTGGTCTTGTAGCTACTGAGCAGGGTATAAAAACTGGGTATAAAAACATCCTTCCCTGTGAGGGTGCTGAGGCACTGGCACAGGTTGCCCAGAGAAGCTGTGGCTGCTCCATCCCTGGGAGTGTTCCAGGCCAGGTTGGATGGGGCTTGGAGCAACATAGTGTGCTATGAGTGGGCTTAGCTCTTGGGATTGTCTGAGCAGTGTGGAGAGATTGATTCAGGTAGGATCCCCAGTCTCACCTCCTCACAAAATGGGGAAGAAGAGATGATTTAGGTTAGATCTTAGGAAGAAGTTTTTGCTGTGAGGGTGGTGAGACACTGTCCCAGGTTGCCCAGGGAGGCTGTGGCTGCCCCAACCCTGGCAGTGTTCACAGCCAGGTTGGCTAAAGCCTTGAGCAACCTGCTCTGGTGGGAGGTGTCCCTGCCCAGGGCAGGAGGTTGGGGCTGGGTGATCTCTAAGCTCCATTCCAACCCCTTAACATACTATGATTCTATGATACCTGTTCTGAAACAAAGAGCAAACAACATTTCTCCTCTGATGATTCTTCTGGAGTTACAGGATGGGATGAGAGGATATGACATCAGATTGAGCCAGGGGACATTTAGATCAGATATTAGGGACTTTTTTCTTACAGAAAGGGTTGTCAAGCACTGGCACAGCTGCCCAGGGAACTGGTGGAATCAGCATTCCTGGAAGTGTTCAAAAACCATGTGGATATGGCACTTGAGGACATGGTTTTGTGCTGAACATGTTGGTGGTGCTGACTTGATGATCTGAAAGGTCTTTTCCAACCTTAATAATTCCCTGATTCTATAATAGATGCAAAGACAAGGAAGTGACAGGGAGATGTGGAAGTGTTGTTAAAAACATGATGTAAAAATAACCCCAATCTCAGGCTACAGCTGATATGACCAAACCCTCAGTACCTGGCTAAAGATGTAATTAAAAGCATGTTGCCTCTAATTCAGACTAAATGAGGCTGTGCCTGCTGTACAGTGTGTCCTCCTCATGATCAAAGCCAGTGCTCTTGTACTCACTTAATAATTAAATACCCTCCCCAAATGGCTCTGCCTTCTGCTCCTTTCCCCTCCCTGCTGCAAGCACTGGGGCTCAGCCAGCAGAGCTCAGCTCTGCTTGTGCCACTGAATATCCAGACTTCCCCAATGGGGAAGGGTGTGGAGTGATTGCAAACATCTTTGTGGTGGGAGATAGGGATGTTGGGTTCTCCTGTGTCTCTCCAGAAGCTGCATGTGGCAATGGATGCTGTGCTGTCCCTGCTCAGTGCTAAAGGTGAGGCTCTGCCCTTTGCCAGGTTGCACATCACAAACAAATACAGACTGTGCTGTTTTCCAGTGGGATTGAGAGTTTTCTTGGACATATACTCAAGCGAGTTGCAATTGAAACAGCTCCTAAAATCCAGGAACTGCCTTTGGTTGGTTGTTTATGGAAGATCTGGGGCTCTCCTGCAGGACAGAGCATCCTGTTTGCTCTGGAGCAGTGGGTTTGTGTCCCTTGTGGGGGATTTTCCTCTCTACTCCTCACTTTATATTCCCTCCACTTTCTGTTTTCCTTCTCTGGTGCTTGATTCCTTCCTGAGCTGATAAAACTCAACAGCCCTGCAGAAACCAACAGAGCAGAAAAACACAGATTATTTTCTTCTGGAGGAGCTTTTACCAAGTGCCACAGCTGATTTCAGAGCTCAGGACTGTACAGGGCCAGGAGAGCAGAAGCAGGAGGAGAGATTCCTCTCCCTTTTGATACCATTAACATCCAGTAGGCTTGTTTGCTTCTTGACATAGGGGTCAGCCCACTTGGCCAGGATGAGTGGACACAGGGTGTGTTCTGCCCATCCACGTGCTGGGAAGCAAGTTGGGGTGCCCAAGATGCACACAAAAAAAAAAAAAGGAAAAGAGAAATTGTAAAAATAAAGCAAAAGGAGGGGATTAGACACCTGGTTGAAGTTCTGCTGAGCCATTCACCCACCAAAAGGATGAACCAGGTTCTGTTCATATTAGAGAGCTGCCCTTGTCTTTGTTTCTCTCTTTCAACCATGCCAATCCATTCTAACCATTCCCTCCTTGTTCCAGAAAGTTGGGGCACCTTGCCAGGAGTTGGGGGAGCATTTTGTAAGCTTTCCAGTTCAGACTGCAACAACAGCAGTAGTGAAAACGTTCAGGAATTTGTATTATTGTATAATTTCTCTTGAAACATTGTTTTGTGTTGACTGCAGTGGGTGGTTATTTTTCTTTATATTACTTATGACCTCTTAGGTGCTTTGGGAGCAATAAAGACATCCATCACAGGGAATACAACCTTTCCATAGGAAATGATTGGCTGCCTCTGGTGGCACCATGGGAATGTTGTGACTGCAAGTCATGTCAAGAAGCACTGACCTCAAATGCCTTTCAGTATTCCTTAAACACAGGGTCATTTGCTTCTTGGGATGTCATGGGATGTGGCTTCAATTCTGGCCAGAGGATGCTGCTCCTGCTAAATTTTTCATTGAACTCTGCACATGGTTCTGGAGTTTACAGTCAAGAGGGAAAAATACCCTCACTGAATTGGGAAGTGCTGCCCCACACTCATTCCTTTCCTGAGTTTGTCCTGGTTTCTTGACAGGCAAAGAATCTCCTGGGGAGCTGTTGCCACCAAGGGTTGGGCTCCATCTTTATCTACACCTTGGTTTCCTGTTGTTCCCTCCCACAGCAGTGCCCTCCAGTGCTGTTTTTCCTCATCCTGCTGCTGTTCTGAGCCCTCAGCCTCCTCTCAGCCCAGCTAGCAGCTTTTTTTCCACATGCTGGTGGAATTATGGAGCTTTCTCCTGCTTGGATGTTGAATTGGGTATTAATTTTGCCTGGTAATGAGCTAAATGATTCTGTACAATACATTTGTGGCTGTTTTGATGCTTTGGATTACACAATGCAAAGAGGATAAACGTTATCCTGGGATGCTGTGAGGAAGCTGATTTAACTTATTTCAAGGCTAAGTGCTTTTTGGCACTGTTTGACGTGGCAGTGGGGAGCACTGAGGGTGGGGAGACAGCAGGAGTGCTGGCCAGGGAGGGCAAGCTCTGGAATGATGCATTTGGATACTCAGAGTCTGTGTCTCTCGAGTGTGAAAAATGCTGCTTGTCATGTCCTCAAATATTTATGGTGAAGCCTGAGGTATTTCCAGCTCAGCCAGCAGAGAGTAATGATTGTTCCTGAGGTTTACTCATCTGGCTGCAATAACTGAGTGTGGAGAGCCACCACAGTGGCCACCGTGTGTCTGCCAGGCCATGACATGGTCCAGACTGCTCTGTCCTGAGGTCACAGAATCTCCTGAGCTGGAAGAGACCCCCAAGGATCATCAGTCCAACTCCTGTCCCTGCACAGGACACCCCAACACTGCACCCTGTGCCTGAGA